GCGAATGCGTGGCCGAGCTCCTTTAGCAAGATATGTCCTTTAAAACTAATAAGGTCAGCATCAAATGCCGAAGACTTACAGAACCATTTATTTTCGGGATTTATTTACCGCAACAAACTAAAATTACAGACAAAATGATTGACACTAGTCTTATGTGGACCAAAGATTACGGTAAATATATGAAGATAAAATAATCGAAAACATTGACGTTAGATTTAAGACTTAATATGATATTGTCATACAAAACATACACATAGGAGGATTTCCACTGACATGAACACATTCGTACAAATATACACCAAAGGGATCTTGAGAAATTTATTCTCATCACAAAGCAGGATGCTAATAACACTAATTTGCTTAGTTGGCCGTTTACCGCAGGATATCATCAATTCTCGAGTCAGTGGAAACCACGAATATGTGTCCCCCCAAATGCCCTAGCATGGCCGAGGGCCGGAAGAGTCTGCTCTCTTTCTCGAAATGCTCTCACATGGCCACGCGTATACAGCCTCTGTCAGGGAAGTCCTACACACTGTTTTCTCGCGGCTTTATTGTTGTTGACGAAATTGAGAGGACGAAAAGCCAATGTCCGGCACTTTAACCTGGTTGGTGGACACGGCAAGTCCACCTATGGGAGTTGGAAAACCCTGATTCCAAACCAATGGTTTACATGGGCTCCAGGATCCTGAGGGAACAAATGGCGTATGAATCTATTGTTGATCACCAGCTGCCATAGGACTGCATCTCCTAATGTTGCTTCACTACCTTGTGGATCAAACCTTCAGGTCAAAGGCTAGAGGTGTGACTCCCTAGGAAAACCACTTGCTTCGGTTTAGGAACCCGATCAGTATCCCAGATCTCACACGAATCAATGTAACTGCCCCTGGCCTCACTGTTATTGTGTGGAGCATATGTATTTGGTGCTCCCTTGTACAAATGTTTATGTGTTTAGATAAATAAATACAGGATGTTAAGTTCCATCCTGAAATGTTATTTCGGAGAAAGTATGCATTAAGGGTCGATGACTAAAACAAGACAGCACGCCAGGACTTGTATTTCACAAAAGTTTGTGATGTCATCAATGGACTCATATAAATGATCTAACAGTTCATTTGTGTTCAGAGATCTCTAGATGATAACGTAGGTGCATATGCATAAATACTTTGAACAAATACTCAAAGTGTCAAGTAATCAAAAAATGGACGACTTCATTTCCGTATCTCAAGGTTAGATTTTTTAATCCTGGATTAATATACAACAGTTGACTATATGAACATTCGGATTTTCAAATGTTCAGTCTTAAGTCAGCCTTCAGCAGTAAGGATACGAGGTCAGTCAACCTATACAGACCATTGCGATTTGTAGTACTGTGGATATCCAATCTCACTCTGAATGTATCTTCAGAAGGTGCTGATATTATGTCTTCCGGTTAGGGATTTCAGTAATTCACTACTCCACCCTGCAGACGGAACTCCAGATGTAAACGATTTGATCTCAGTTTTTGAACTTCGTTTGAATGCCCTCTCCAATGATCAATCCTAGATGGATGAGAAAGACGAGATATGTTAATAGCAAGGTCATACGAGAAGCCAATATTAGATCACCCCATAATCTGCGTTAAGATAACAAAAATAGGCTGAGATATCTCAGTCTATTTTTATAGGATAGGTCAGAGAGACATTTTGCCATTTTGGTCTCTCGCCGTTAGGATCATTCTAGTATACCCACTTCATACTTGAAACAAATCCTCGCTGCTTGAACCTCATATTCCAAATGAGATATTACATAAGTCGAGGGTAATCTAATTTCTTTGTCAGAGTCGTTAGGTGAATCATGAATAGCTCGTAATATCCTGAAGCCTTTGGCGGCAGCAGCAGCCTTGCAGCTACTCGTAGTTTTGAGATCGCACCTCAGTATGACACCTAGATCTTTATTGTTCGTTATTTTAGATAACACAACTACACATGTTGTGTAGTGATATAAATTGTAGCTGTTATTTAATTGCACCACCACACTCTTGTTAAAGTTAACGCCCAATGAAAATCAGCCCATCCATTCTACCAGTGAATTTAGATCATCCTATGATATTATTTTATCTGGCATACTGTGTGTGGGTTCCTAAATTTTTATGTCATCAGTGACGAGTAGAATGGATGGCTATGCTACAGTTTGTACCTCATTTAAACACAAATAGGAAGGGGATCTAAAGGAATCTTACTCCTTACAGATTCCCATTCTGATAGAGTCCTATGTACCTGTATCTCTAGTCTCTTATCATTCAGAAAGTTACTTATTCAGTTTATCGCTTTATAATGGATCCACAAATCTGCAATTTTATTTGAAGATCTGGATGAGAGACTTTGTCTCCCGTGACATTTCTGCATTTTGCTGCGCCCAACCTGCTTTACCAATGAGCGGGTTTATCAAACATGATAGGCCTTGCCGAATACTATTTTGTTTCCTAAATAAGAGATTATTTCCCTCTATATAGTTAAAAGTAGCCATACGAATAACCTTTTAAATTATTCTGGGAACCACACCGATCAAACCAACTATTCGATAGTTACTGATTAGGTTTCTACTCTCCGCTTTATAAACTAGGCTGATTATTAGGTTTTTATAGTCTCTTGGAAGTTTAAACTGTCTTAAAGACATATCAAACTGTATTGGAAGGGACTCAGCTTTCATAATGTTAGGATGAATGACGTCGGAATCACTGTATGTATCTAGTTTGACATTTTGAATTATTCGTAAGCCAGTTCTATTCTCCATAACCATTATCATGATTAACTGTTGATTATTCATCATCATCGGTAGAAGACATTTTACTCAAATAATCTGATAAAGGTTCAGCTTTTTGAACTTCGTTCCTCGCCAATATCGACAGATTTTCCTGCATTGAAGGTTATGGAGTCCCAACAATTTGCCTCTTTATATACGAAAACAACCTTTCGAGACTTTTTTCACAATCTAGTCTAACCTCACTCATAAGCGCTTCGCAAGCATCTCTAGTCCTTCAGTAAGTGCATTTATACTGTTCAGAGCCCATAGAGATAAGCATATGCCAGTACGTTTTCCTACGTCCAATAAGTTTGTTGACTTTCTCAGTTATCCATTGTGGACAGTTATTTTGTCTACGTTGTACTAAGCACGGTATAAATGGGGACGTAGCCAAGCTGATAGTACCTTTAAATAAGGACCATGCTTTTCGACTGACGAACCAGAATTAACTGAAAAGTCATTTAGTGCAGAGTACTCGTGGATGGTCGATAATATCTCTCCACGTACATTTGGGCTACGTTTAACCTGATAGTACTTTATGTCGTAAGCTCTAAACACGAATGACTAAACAGCATAATCTCCATCTGTTAACAGTGGGAGAACAATTAGATGGGCAATATCCTCGGTCTCAAGGGTAATTTTTAAGTTCAACAAAGAATATCTTTGGTTTGAACCAAAGCGTAAGCTTTCGGGCACACACTGTACTAAAACATGCTCCATTACTGCGACCAAGACGAGTTTGGAGAAAATTCCTCACCTTTACCGAAATGATTCAAGTTAAAGTAGATCAAGTATGTTTTTGATGTAATGACACAAAAGTAAAGTTACTTCAAAACAAGTTAAACATCACTGTCGTTTTTTTGAAATGCGCTCATAAGTTGAGGATGATGTACACTTCGATCACTCAAACTGTTATTGGCTTATTTGTTTTATCCCTTTAATTTCGGAGAGAAAATAAAAAAGAATCATACATAAGTAGTCAAGAATGTTTTCGTAAGGGTGATAGCCTAAAAGTTCGAAATGCCCTGAAGAAATTATATGAATGGTCTCAAACCTGGCAGCTGACGATAAATACTTCCAAGTGTATTGTGGTGCATATTGGTCATCAATGTACGGTTGCATACATGATGAATAACGTTGATCTACCTGTCGTCCAGACATTCAATGACTTGGGAGTCATCGTTAGCTAAGACTGAAAAACTACTGCACACTGCCGTGTAATAATCACTGAAGATTCTGGAAACTAATGGTCAATACGCAGGGCCTTTAGTAATGGCGACGCTAAAACACTTTCGCCTTTGTATAAAGTGTGTCGGTAAATAAATCCCCAAGATCAATAGCTCTGTAAATGTTCTACGTTGGATGCTGACCACATTAGTTTTAATGGACTCACCTAGCTGAAGGTGCTCGGTCATGCATCCGCACCAGATCACGAATGGGAACGCCGTGCTCAACTTCTCCTGAGATCGCTAGCCAGTTTAGATCAGTCACCCCTCGATATATTGACAACCTATCGAATACATCTTCGAACCTCCTCGCTTCGGACATTTGATTTCACTGTGTGGGCACTATTCAATTATAGGCGTTGCTCGTTAGGGTGTTGTTGAACTACAATACTTGTGGCATCATCAACTGTGTTCGTACGTCGTAAACTTGAATACTGGATGCAAACGGCTAGCATTTGCCTAAATAAAGACTATGAGCTTTTGGAACAAGTTACGAAAACAGCAGTTAGACTGACTACCAGAATCGCGAAGCTCTAGTATGATGCTAAACTGGCCAAACTATACCTATTCTCATTGTCATAGCGAAGAACTGGATGTGACTTGATTACAGCCATCAAATTACTTATTGATAAATTTACACCTGAAATGACCTCATCTTTCTGTTTTCGAAAAGGGAGAACTTACGAGGACACTCCAAAAAAATTCACAAGCCAAGGACAAGTTACTTTTCAGCTGACTATTGACTTTCCCATCGAATCATTAACGAGTGGAAATTATTACCTCAACACGTGATTGAAACTCCGTCCGTTGACTCTTTCAAAAGAAAATGGGATCAACTGAGAGATGATCATTGCCAGGACTAACACAGGCCATTTGGTCTCCTGCCCTTACCAAACTGAAACTGTAGCGCTTAGTATCAACGTTTGAGGTTTGAGGATTGAAGACTGTTGGGGAATTCGAGGTCATTGATTGTGAGGGTTTTTCAATCTTGTGATGACAAGTAGTTCAAATAGACGGGATAATACCAAACTGCAAAATGAAAGACACCAGCTCATAATTCAGGAGTTACTTCGTGATGACGACAATAAGTACTGCGCAGATTGTGACGCAAAAGGTTAGTTTTATAGTATATCTAAACAAGTTAGGGCCACGTTGGGCTTCCTGGAATATTGGCATTTTCCTGTGCATAAGATGTGCAGGGATACATCGCAATCTGGGTGTTCATATATCCAAAGTTAAGTCAGTTAACCTTGATACATGGACTCCTATGCAGTTGGCTGTAAGGGAAAGTTTAACAGTAATCATTCACTTCAGGTTATGAGGGAAATGGGTAATAGCAGAGCACGAGCTGTATATGAAGCAAATTTGCCCGATAATTTTAGAAGGCCACAGACAGATTCTGCGTTAGAGACGTTCATTCGAGCAAAGTACGAACAGAAACGGTACATAGCGCAAGAATATACTCCAAGTAAACCCGACGTAGAATCATTGATGAAAGTAGGTCCAAATTAACATACTATTTTTTAAGTGTTGCTCTGTCCCAGAAACTACCCCAATGAAAACTTATCATTGTCTGTTGCTTACTTTTAGATGTTAAGGAACTCTTGTTCATGTCTGGTTGGTTTTTCATTCCATTTTTTTGTAAACGCATTTTCTCATTGGCTAGAGAATACCTGTTAGAGTTTCCCAGCTTGTGTTGTTCAGCAGTTCGTTCGCTCGACACAATATTTTTAGTTTTACGAAAACCTTGGAATAGTGGCATATATTAATTTCGATAAGATGTGATGTAAGTGTAACAATCCAATTAATTACACCATATTACAGCAGCTTAAGAAATTAAGAAAGGCAAATTAAAAGAGTATATCTGATGAAGTTAGGGAAAAAATATAAAACAAATGAACTGGAGTGGGAAAGGAAACAAAATGATCAAAGCACCTATCGCTGCTGCCACTTTTAGAGGATATCACTCCTTACCAATAACTACTAAACAGGTTGCCTCGGATTAGGCTTAGGAGATCGTACACTCTCCACAAATTACTTAAGTGAACAACCCTTCTAAGACCAATATGATCTACCTACTAGTATTTACCATTTGGTTTCGAAAGTCACTCACTACTCGCGTAAATAAATATAAGGCAAGTTAATGTTCAGTAGATTTTTCATTTAGTTTACTGATAAAAGCCTGTGTGGACCATAATTTTTCTGTATGTCAGGTTCGTTAAGTAATCCATATAGTTGGATTTGGACATCTGTCAGCGAATGCTAGTAATACCGGGGTACCTTAGCTGAGGTAGATGAAATGGAGTTCCAAACTACAACCAGATGTCTGAGAACAAGACTTTTTGGTTTCTTAGCCACCGCTCTATAAGAACGTTTCCTAAGTAGCTCTAATAATAATAACCTTTTTGATTACTGAAAATATATGGCAACCACTGCATATTCTAGTTATCTGAAAAAGAAACTATTTCCTCACCCACTGTTAATTTGATAACACTAATCTATCCTCAGACCTTAAGTTTGGGGCCCTCCAATCAATCTGCGTGGTACGATTTTAAGTAACGTGTTCCAGCCAATAAGGTTCGATGGGGTTGTCATGAAATATAATCCCAACCACCACGTCAGAGCAGTTGTGGTCGGCATTAGCATGCCAATCACCGATCGAAAGTTGGTCCAAAAAGCGTACGTGTTGATCTATCACAACCATATTTTCGTTTCAGAATGTCTTTTTTCGTTGAGCTGATGTCACATTCAAAAATATAATAACATTCTCCAAGTTTGTCGTATCATGTTCTTACCAACCCACTCTTGTCAAAATAATTTGTGGCTGTGTAAATAATCTGTAGGAGAGTAACGCGACAGCGAAGCTTTCCTGATCAAAACACCTGTGTCCTCATCTTGCTTTGTTCTGATTGCTGTTTTTATGTACTGTACCAAAATTGTCAGTCAGTCATAATTAGCGTAAGCGTTGGTGCAAATGTGGGCTCGTCCAAGTTGTCATAACACATTAGTACGACGAGATGAAATCAGGATAATGGACTAAAAAGGCTACACCCTGTGTTAATAAAAACATAATGTGTGTTCTTTCTAGTACTGCACGATATTAATTACATCATAATCAGCCAACAGTTCCTATTGTTTTTAAATATTAACAGGTAGACTTAATTCCAACTGAACTCAGATCACTAGTCTAATTTTTTTACCCTTCTTGTGTGGACCACTAAAAAGACCAACTTGCCTTTTTTCCCCTGCACTCAATAAAGTCTTATTATTTACGAACAACCTTTATAAAACATTTATCAAATACTCATGTTCTTATGGTAACTACTGTTCATACCCATGTGTAGTAGTTTTATTGTAAAAGACTTGCAGTGTAAACATGCTTTTTTAAAGTGTTCAGATGTTACACTGAGTTGTTGGAATGTAATTGACCCTCATCAGGACACTTAAGATTAGTGGAAATAGCGTCCATGATCAACACTCATTGGGATAAGCTCTCCACGATTCTATGTAGCGAATGTCTGGTGATGTAATATATTTTTCAACGGATGTTTTAGATATTACCATAAAATCTCGATTACGAGGACAGAATAAAAAATTCTCAGAATATATCTAGTATGAAACGGGTGGGCATTACAACACCTTTACCTTTACTTGAATTTCACTGATGTAGAGGAGTATTCAGGATATTTTGTCGATAAATATATTTTATATAGAGCTTATAAAATTTCCTTCCCGTTGTTAACGTGAGCTTACATCAGTTACATTTTTGATTTTTCGGTTAGGAATTGCAACGTCTTGAATTGTCTCAAAAGAAGAAATCGCCTACTGTGAGCTTGGGTGCTCATTTACAACAATCTACCGGCATAATGCATCGTCCAACTAAGGAACTACCAGTAACAGTAAGCTGATTATTTTATTATAGAACTACCGCTAAAATAAGAGTTCTTTTACTGAGCTGCTTTGTGTGGTAAATGTTTTTGGTTTCGTGTTGTACCAAATGTTCTGTGTTTTGGATAAAATGTTTTGTTTAATTTTCATGGCGTCTGGCAAATATAACTTTACCCATTTCATAGGCTTATTCTGTTTTTCATTAATGTTGGTTCTGTTATAATTATTCTGTGTATTAGTCCTTGAGTATACTAATTATTTTATTCTATTGGTTCAAATGTCTCTTTAATATTCTTACTGACTTGCCCTTATTTTTTGTCATGGTTTTTCTCCTTTCAAGTCATCTGAAACAAATAATATTATTAGGACAAACAACGATTTTGATCTTTTGGGGCTTGACAATGCTTCTGGTCCCGAAAATAAAAATAATCTATTTGGTCATGGTGGTCCTAGTCAAGCAACTTTTGGAAGTCAACAAAAGCAGTCAACTGTTGGACAACAGCCAGTCAGCTCACCAGTAGATACGACCCAACATATACAAAAACCTAAAGTAAGTGTTTTGTATAAATGTCATTGTTTTATTAGGAAAAGCAAAATGCAGCTAGACTAATAATCACTGTTTGTACGCCATATTACGCATGTTTACAATTTTTTATGCAGGATACTGCATCTAGTTTGACATCTGATCTTCTGGGTTTGGACTTTGGATGCACTAACTTGGTCGGTGAAAGGGCTACAAATGCAACTAATGATGGACAATTATCTTCAGGATCCACGTCAAAGATAACCAAGGATTCAATCTTGGCTTTGTATCAGCAAAGCGCATCACAACAAAGTAGTTTGGGTCCCGCATTATATCCCGGAACTATGGGACAGTTCTCAACTTCTAACTTCCCAGGAAATCAATACTTTGTATGTAATCCTCCACTTGATAATTCTATTCATAACAAAAATATAAACAATTCGGGTAAGTTTTAATTATTGCACAAATCGATGTACAAAAGCGATTTTCAAATTTAAAAGTTGATTCTGTTGAATAAGGACTATTTCTACCAATCATATTCATTATTATATTCCTTGTTTAACATTATTTTTAGTGCTTTTAGTTCGTAAAACATCTACTTAGGAATTAATTCTTCATTCTTTTAATCACATTTTCTAACCAAGTTCCTTTCATTATTGTTTAGTTTAGTTAGGTAAAACAATAATATATGGATGTTATCTCTATATTCTCACTAGGTATAATTTCCGTCTTTAGTGTCATCCAGTAAAGTGATTGCACGATTCTAGATAGATTATATATAAAGCTTAGTGTAATCTGATTAAGCTTGTGTTGTATCATGACAAATGAGCTATTAAGTTATACTTATTCTAAATTTTTGTGGTAGTTTAGTCGTAGTGATTTTCCCTTTTGAATTAGGGTTAATCGTTTATCCGTCTCTTAAATAGTTATCACTAATCACTACTGCATTTTGTTACTATGTTGAGTTTCCAGGTGCGTATACCTCCAATATTTCTATAATTGTCTGACTTAAAAGATATAAGTACGTTATTTAAGGCGCTTTTTATAAGTTATATGAATATATGCTCCTAGCTCATGTAATTTCAGTTTGTCTCATTTCATTAATAATCGATCAGTTATCAATTACTGTTCATAATTATCTATTTAAAAGTGGGTGTGATAAGTTTGTAAACATTTTAGGCATCAGTCTTATAGTTACTCTTAAGAAACTTGTGGACAGAATATATTTGCATTGTTATAAAGTTTTTGGTATACTCTTAAAAGGCTTAGTAGAATAACGATGAATTTGTTTAAATCATTCATTTCATACTTTTGTCATTGGAATTAAGTAGTTTAGTGTACAGTCAAAACATGTGGTTAAATATCTGATTGATCAAGCGGCTATTATTTCATTTTATTCATAAGGCCCAAGTTATTCATGTATTTTGCTTACTGGTAATTTATTACTTCAAGTCCAAAAATCTAATTGTCACTTGTCTAAACACCTTGGAGATTGTGATAAACAATTTCAGAGTTAAATTAATCTTCTGGTAGATATTCAGTTCGTTATGAGATTATTGATTGATTAATTATGCTGAATGTTTGTGACACATCAGGTTTTATTACTTTAAAATTCACATGATTTTTTAGATGGAATTATGTCATTAGATGAAAAGTATGAATGTTGTTCGTTTGAGAACTATTTCCTTTAATTAGATATTGGATGACGAGATTTGTTGGGACGTCTTGAGCAGGGAAAATAGTTTTGTTGATATGGCTTATACTTTTAATGAACAAAGGTAATTAATTATGCAGGGTTGTACATAATAGGTCACCAACTATGAAGTTATGTAGTAGATAAAGAAGGTTTAGAAGGGCCTCAGAGTGTCTAGAAGACAATATAACACTAAAACAAAGGGTTATTAGTCATTATTCTAAACTATTTTGAATAGTACAAAGCTTCTCAGGATGTGGGTGGTGTTCACTCTCCCAGAAAACACCTTTTTCAGTTTATCGATTCGAATTTAAACTTTTATACACTGAATATCCTATTTCCCTTAATGACTTTAGCTTTTCCTTCTTGACTATTTGTCTATTAATATATTACTGTTTTACTCTTACAAAGGTTGCTTATAAGCTATAAATGTTTTAAATTAGTAGTTTTTTTCATTATGTGATAAATAATATGTTACTTTATAGATGGTTTACTCTATTACGTACTAAGTAAATTGTGTTTTCGTAATTGTAGACACAATTTATCCTACTCCATAAATAATTGTATTTTGGAAGACTTATATTTCTCAAATGAGAGTTCATCCTATAAATCACTTTTAACACAACTGTTGTGTGGTTCATTTTTCCTTATTACGAGAATATTAATCCCAAGCCTGCAAATATTTGTAAAAAGAAACAGGTGGTTTCTTCAAATTATGACGTGGTATTGATCCAGACTATCCGGTCAAGGTCTACACGATTGTCTTAACTAATTGTTGAAGACTTTGAGTGATGCGGCTTAGAATCATTTGTAATAGCATATGATCATTCACACTTGGTCTTCCCTTAGATTTTAGGTTTCATGATCATATATTTCTCTGTTCCACAATTCCATATTTTATTTCGGAATCAAATCTTCCATGTTTAATCTCTTATTCCCTGTAATGCTGTTACTATTTATGCTACTCTGGAATCTTTCTATGGGCTGTGTTACTACTTGAACCAATTCACATATGTTCCAACTTCTACGTTGCTTATGACTGACTGACCTACATGGTACAAAGTATGAGAAATCGTGATCAGGTATACAGTTTAATATCAAAAATTTATAGTTCTTTGTACTGTTAAAAGAAAACTCTTGGTGCAATTATAATAAGTAGAAGATTGCTAGCTTCTTACTTAATTAAAAGTGGCCACTTATGATATTACTTAATTTGTTTAGTACATTTTTATTTTATCTTGTAAAGAAATCACAAACAATTATTTATATGTTTCTGTACGAACATGAAGTAACAGAGTAGAGAATTTCTAAAATTTACTCTCACGCAAATGTGAAACCCAGCTATAAGTAATTGATTATTGCTATAGGCAGTGGTTTTACTTATTATTTGTAAATAGAAGGAAATGTGCAAATAAGACGTGAAGACAACATTATAGTAGACTAATGCCATGTCTTGGTTTTGTTCCCCTTGTTTTCTTCCAAACTATTTCTGCACTACCAAATATCTCGTCGACGTAGTTGGTAGTTAGGTATACGTAGCATATGTCTTAACCACCTCAATTAATGAGGATTTACGATGTTATCAGTCAGTTTGCCTATCTTAACCGAGTACCATATGCAACATGGCTCATTCAGTCGTCTCATGAAACGTGAGCAATACTTCGAAGACACTCGTGACCAAAGGACTTCAGCATACGTATATGTTCTACTTTCAAGGACCATGTTACACAGTCATAAATTACAACAGAGTGAACTACTGTGTAGTGTACACTCCTTTTGGTTGGCAGACAGACATCTCGTACACCCCACAAGCGAAGCGAGTTAACAAACGCTAGTCGAGCTTTCTGAATCGATGTCGAGATTTCGTCAGACATAACCCATCAAGGCAGATGAGATCCAGAATAAGTGAAGTGGTCAATAAATTCAACTAATCCACTCCCTAAAATCACTTTGGGCGTTGACGCAGATCAGTCTTAAAGTGACATTTTGTGTTTAGAGAGCGAGAAACACTCCGACTATCCTTAGGTCACTGCTCAAAGGGGTCAGGAGACTGCATTTTGTCAGTGTCTTCACCAAATAAAACTAGCATCTACGTAAATTGTAATTCAGCTACTTTTGGTGAAAAAAACTATTCTTCCTCATATGTAACAGGCTTAATCATATGCAAAAATAAAGTTTTTCACGAAGCATGAAAAGTTGACTAGTACTTATCCAATTCCATTTTTGTTTATTTTCGGTAACTATGGAGACTATGATGTTTAGCTTATTTTCCTGATCTTAATATGATTAATCGGTTGGTAGGTTATTTCTCCTTTTTTTCTCGTTTGTGCATCTATAAGTCATGTATGTATTTGTTGTTGATTTCTTCACTTATGATAATTTGAGTAAATGAGAACTCTTATGGTCTTTTTAAGGTAATGGGGAAATGAAAGAGTCACATTTTCCTCCCAAACAGTTTTTATCACACGGTTTGGGCATAAATCCAGCTGGAACTAATAATTTGAATGGATCATCTCAATTCATTGTGAGTAGATTATGCATTGTAAGCTTTTTGATCATAGTTTTAATTTTTTGAAGGGATCCAGTTAACGTTTCATGTAATTATGTTATGTTCTCAAGTACATTCATGGTTTAGTTTAGTGTTGATAATTTTAAATTGAACTATTTGTATATTTTTATACTAAGGATAACTGAAAATGTAACCGCGTATATAGTTGTTTGCGTTGTTGGTTTTCTTGGTACTTGGGTTTAAAATAGTTTATATTTATTCAAAACTCCGAACATGAAAAATGCACCAAATATTGTTTTAGGTATTCTAGTGTAGTAGAGTGTACTGTTCGTCCTACAAACTTACCACTAATCCTTCGACATTTTGAGTAGTCATTGAGTAGACATTTAAAAGTAAAGTTCATGAGCTTCAGTACTTTTAACAGACATACTCTTCTTGATAGGGCGTCGTACCTGTAAAATATTGAGTTGGCAACTCCTCATATAAATTGCTTTATATCTTCTACAAACTTTCAATTAATGAAGTGTGAAAGTTATCTTTCGGTATCAGCTTGTTGTAAACTTCGTGAGAAAGTTCAACTTCAAACCTATAGGCATCATCAGCATATTTCATGGCACAGATGTACGTTTGCCCAAGCTGCCTTGAAAGATTAACAAGACCGAATGAAAATAGCGAAACAGATTGAAAAATGTAGTGATAGTAGTAGTGATGAAAGGAAAACTCAACCTTGTGAATATGGCTTGAAAAGACAGATTGGAAGTGTATGTGTGAAAGAATACTGAAATCCAAGATTGATAAGGAGATAAAGAGTGAATGGAACTGCATCATTGTGAATGATTCTATGCTCTGTCACCCAGTATCTCTAACAATTACTTATAATAATCTCTAGGACCCCAACCGAATAGTTTGTATCTACCAACATCTAATCTTCTGTCAGTAACTTCATGAACTAATGCCACGTCTTGGTTTGATCCTTAAATTCTATATGTCCGTAATTGATTTTATGTACGTCGCTCAGCCTTTTACAACAATAATAACTCATTTTAAAACAACAATTTAATATAATGCTACTAAGTTTGTAACCATATATTCAGAATTAAATCCCAATTATGTGTCCTACTACTCAGTCGATGATCTATGGTTCAAACTTGCAAGATGATTGTTGAATGCCTACCATTTTAATCACTAAGCAACTGTCGTTTATAACAATAATGTTCATGTTCTGAGACTTCCCCATGTAACACATTAGACTTGTGGCTTTTCATATTGTGATTAATTGTTTTTCTCTTTCCGTTTTGAATTTCCAAGCCTCCGTCGCCTAATTTCGCTGTCTGGCCTGAAAATAATACCTCCTCATGCTCATCTATTGCAGCACAATCGAATCAAAACGTTGTTTGTCCAAATCAGTCGTTTGCTTTCAGTAATACCTTAAACTCCAATCCTAGTAATCCATGCACGAACACATTATCTCAGCTATGGAACATGAATATGAACCAAACATTACCAAATCAAACGTTTGGGAATTTCGTTTCTCACTCAACAAATAACAACATGGCACCAAATAATGAAATGTATTTATCTCAGGTAACGTATAATGTGTCTATGGTTTTTTGATGTTTGAACACAGTATAGTTTTCACCATAAACTGAAGAGCCATGAAAAAATATAATGCAGTAGAAAGCTATTTTGTCGTTGTTCAGAACTCAACAACGACGCAAACTGGTGAGTTAACTAAGGATCGAATTCATTGCCTTTAGGTTTTAACAATAGCTGTAGACCAGTAATCAAATTGCCAACTTCAGTTATTTTACAATACAGGTATTGTTCTTATTGTGAATCTTTAAAATCTCTCTTCCTATTCCTCACTGGTGTATATCAACAACAAATTACAAAGTATGACGACAATGCTGTATAGTGCTTGGCTGTCCTCGTCAATGGTCAACTAGATAAATTCAGTTAGTAGTAAAAAAGGCTTTTAAGTTGTATACATACTATTAAAGCTTTGTATTTTCCTTAGCCATATGTATGTTTCTCACCAAAGTTTAAATTGTCTATTTATTTTACCTCAATGTGCTTCAAATAAAATTTCTCAATATTGTTAGTAAATTCATTCCACTGCTAGCCACTATCCATCTCTGCTTACCAATATTGTTAGTAGTTTCAAAAGTTTGTAGTCGACTTTTGATCCGTGACGTGATATGCGACCTCCCACTTATTAGTATTTGTCATTTTTCAGACTACAAAGGGTCACTGATTCTCCTTCTAACTTTGTCTCGCTCCATATGTTAAAAACTTTTGTTTTTTTAGCGAAAATTCTTAACGCTAGGTTCCTGCGCTTACTTTGCTAACTAAAATTGGATTTTTACCAATCTCAAAAGTTCATTGACAATACATGATATATTTATTCGTTTCAATTTCAGGTTAAAAGTCAGTTAACTTCATTATATCTTGGCAAAAGTCCACTGAATCCATAAAAATTGTCAACTGACTGTCTGATTGTTTGGACGTATTTAACTGTTGTCAAATGTGCATATCTTATAGAAAATACAAACAAATTATCATGTCACCTTATACATTTCATTGTTCTCATAGATCAACTGTGATATATTTAAAAGTGAATAATCAAATATTTGACATTATAATTCATGTTCAATTTCCTACTATATAAATTCAAATCTTTTGTTTTATCGGGACAGCATTTTAATTCCAGTAGTCCGTTCTAAATGTATGTAAAAATGTTTGTATTTGTAGCTTTTCTTTCCACTTACCTACAATCCCATAAATACTGTTTTTTCTAGTACACTAATACAAATCGATTGTTTTTGTTTGTCTTGCTTAAATAGTGACTTACATTGGTATATAAAAAAAATAGATATATACAATCTTTTGACCTTGATTCCCTTGTAACCAATATAAACAACTTGATGATTTGGAAGATACTTTTTTCATCTACCTTGTGTTCTTATTACACACACACACTTTTTCTGTTCACTTTAATTACACAATAGGTTTTGTTATGATGACCCATTTTATAGGTAAAGCTTAATCTATTCTCCTTATTTCCCTACACAATGTTTTAATTAATTACGATTTGTCGATTGGACTATTTTAAATAAGTTTTTGTTTTCAAAAAAATTCTTAAAAATATTTTCTTTTATCATATAAAGGTTTTGTTTATTCATTTGTTTGAAAAGAATGGATATGGAATCGATAGAAATTTAAATAATCTTGTGCACAGAATATTAAGTAGTTGATAAATTACAAATAATTTCATCTTCGTCCACAGAAAGCATTTGCATTTTCTTACAAGAGTTTATTCGAGCACTTCTTGTATTATCGTTGAGCTAATCTGTGTAAAGCTTTAGTAAAAATGATACATGGTTAGCAAATTATTATAGTCATTTCGAAAAGAAAGCAGAATAGACATTGATCAGTAGTGAAAAATGCGACAAATGAGTAACAGTCGTGCGGAGATTATAGTAATTTTTACCTAGTAGTCAAACGAAATCAGGCAACACACAAGTGGAACAGAGTTTTATTATTTATTTAAACACATATATATTGGTACAAAAGGGCACCAGGTACATATGCGCCACACAAAATAATGAAAGTAGGAAGAGAAGGGATGAAAAGATAAGGCGGACTGAAATGTACAACCAGAAGACTCTTTCAGTTAAGAAAGTTAGAACCACTCTTTATGCAGAAAGTAAAAGAAGGTTGCAGTAGGATCGCCACTGGCTTCTATTCTGAGCCATATCTGATAACGTCTCTAGCCACTGTGTTGCACTATCTCTCGGACCCCAACCAGGGAGTCATGAAGGACCAACAAAAGCTAGCCCTTTGCAGCTCTCTTTCATGCCACGACACCATGTCATACACTGACCTCCTCTCCGCTTTCTCCAACCAGTCCCAGGGTCGGCAAATAATGCACGACGTGGAAGTCTCTGGGACGACATTCGTAAAATATGTCCAAGCCACCGAAGTCGGCGTTTCAAGATGGTGACACCAATCGAATCATCGTCGCTGCGCCCGAACACGCGATGCCGAACCTCTGCATTACTAACATGGTGTTGCCACTGGATGTCAGCAATCCTTCGGAGACAACGATGATCGAACACAGAGAGTCTAACATCCTCAACTCGGAGAGGCCAGGTTTCACAAGCATAGAGCAAAACTGCTCTCACCGACGCGTTGTAGATCCGACCTTTTACAGCCAGACTAACATCACGAAGGCGCCAAAGATGGCCCAGATTAACATAAGCCGCTCTGGCTTTCCTTATACGTGCATCAATCTCATCACTCACGCCACCACCAGCACTTATATAGCTGCCTAGATACACGAACTTCTCAACTACTTCAATCTGCTCACCATCCAGGGTGAGTGCAGGATGGGAATCCTGCCAGTCTTGTAGGAGTACTTTGCACTTGGAGGGTGCAAAGCACATGCCGTACCTGCGGACACTGATTGCCAACTGATTAAGTGCTGATTGCATGCCTTGGGCATTATCGCACAGTAAGATAATATCATCCGCATACTCAAGGTCGAAAAGTCGTTCTCCAGGCAACATATCCACACCGCCATTACTTACATCCATCAGAGCTGTTTCCAGAATGTCATCGATGGCAAAGTTGAAGAGGAATGGGGAGATCGGGCAACCCTGCCTAACCCCACTGGTCGAATGAAACAAGGGAGAAAGGTGGTTATATGCCCTCACTCTGCCTGAGGTGTTCGTATACAGGGCCTTTAAGTTGTTAATAAACTTCTCAGGCACACCCTTCTTCAATAGACAATCCCAGAGAACAGTCCTGTCCAACGAATCGAAGGCCGCCCTGATATCAAGAAACACTACGATTGTTGGCCTGCGATAAGTATGACGGTGTTCTAACATTTGGCGGAGGGTGAAGATGTGATCAATGCATCCTCGACCAGAACGAAAACCAGCCTGCTCCTCGCGAGTCAATCGTTCTCGGGTTTTAAACAACCTACGAAGAATGATAGAAGCCAATAGTTTGGACGCAATCGAAAGTAGACTTATCCCCCGATAGTTGCTACAGGAACAACGTGAACCCTTTTTAAAGACAGGGACGACTATTGACTCATTCCATGATGTTGGAACACTTTCTTGTTCCCAAACAACACCGTCAGTTCCTTAGCCAGAAAGTCACCACCATCTTTAAAAAGAGCCGGAGGTAAGTCATCTGGGCCCGGTGATTTGTAACGTTTCAAGAGTTGGAGTTCCTTGCGGACTTCCGCCTCGTTTGGTGGATCATTCGTCACCGGCCATGGGGGGCAGGACAAGCTGGTTGATGTTGCCGGAGCAGCAGACCAGTTGAACTGCCCTTCGAAGAACAGAGTTTACCTGCATAATTAAGCACATAGCTGACAGTTAATATGCGTAAAAGTGACTGATGTATTTTCTTGAATAAGAATGTTAGTCTTTGTGCCGTCTTTCCAGCTGAATCAATGGGACCTATTCCTATAACCCTGGATTACTGGAGATGATATTTTCAAATTTACCACGCCGAATTCGCATGTTTTTCCAGTGATAACGCAAATTAGGACCATTAACTTTCACAGATTCTATATTACTATACTCAAGGCGATCAGAATACTCCGATTCCTAAATATTTTCAAACAATCCAATCAGCTACCTGATTATAAGTTTGTTACTATCCTTAAAAATAGCCGGAATTAGATTGCATGGACCTGATAACTCACGGGGCTTCAGCAGTTGAGGTTCCTGACTGATTTTCGACCTATTAAGTGGATCAGTATTCATCAATTAGGAAGGACAATCTAATCGGTGTTTCTCGTAGGCGCAAAAGACCAGTTGAACTGTTTCTTGAGAACACTCCCCGTCACCCAAGACGTTGAATATTAGTAAGTGGCGTTCCACAAACTTCACAAATTGTTTCACACGTCAATCTTGTTACCGAATGTTCGAGTGAGCTCAAGCAACTCCGTACAGTAACCAAATGCAGTTACTGCTTCCAAGTCGTTTGCACACTTAGACTACCACGTTTCTCGGCACTTCGCTAACTTCATAAAGTTAGTAAAAACCTGTGTCATCGTCGGAGTGGACGGGTGAACTTGCAGAAACCTAGTGCTTATAAGCGGGAGTTTGCTGAGCCGCAAGCGACTTGGAGTTATGAAGACGCACAATTCTCACATATACTTCTCGGTGAACTGACTGCTAGTCTTGAACCTTACATTGATATCTGGTTGTAACACAAGTTACAGTCAATTCGCTGGTATCAATCAGTTCAAGACTAGACGTTTGATGGGCACTAAAGCCCAGGTTAAGCTTGGTGTAAACTGGGCCATGATCCGGTCCCAGATAGTTATTTCAAAAAGATCGGCGGTCTCGTACACAACCACCTCAGGGGCAGGTGATCCTGGTGAGATTGTTCTGAATTCCGATTTGAGTTACTGAAAGGACGCTAGACAGCACAAATTTTGGTGACTGCACTAGGACATGGTCCTGGTCGGGAACAGACCAGCCCGATCAGAGTTGCAGGAGAGGGTCACCGTTATCTGACCTGCTAACATCGCGCACTCGTTGACCGCCCATGCTACTCTCCCGTAGTTAGGCGCCCGATCTGCAAATTTAAGTCTCCAGTTAGCACTTCGAAAATATTGACCAGAAGCACTTTATTGAGAAGACCATTTATTTGTTAGTAGAACTTATCCGGACTACAATTCATTAGCGCAAAACATCGTACTCTAACTTCAGTTGTATAAGAGTAAAAAGTTAATTACCACAAGCGGAGAGTGTAAGGGGGAACACTTGCTACGTTTAAGATTGTGTTATGAAGCGACATTGCGAAAGTATACTTTGTCAGTCATCCTAGAAATTAAGTGCCGAATGTAAAGTAAGATATATTTCTTGTAACATATTGCAATTATATTTTCGTTAAGGAATTTATGCTCCACAACTATCGAAAAGACCCATTTTTAAGAGTGAAAGTGAAGAAAAAACTTCTTATCTCTCAAAGCAGTGAGATAATAATACATACATATGAAAAATAGTTTAGATAAATAGAGAATGTATCACACTAACTGCTTTTAATTTTAAAAAAATAACCAAACGGAGTTACTCAAAGTGATGTGATAGGACAACAAGAACGCTATAATGATCACGATTACAAAATCAATAGATGAAAAATTGGAAGAAGTTAATTTGAGGGGGGGGGGACATTACACAACCGACAAATTAAAAATATGCCACTAGGAATACATATTTATCACAGAAAGTTGTTCTGAAAGTAATACTGCACGCTTTCTTTCTTTAATATTGTTCTTTACGGACGACGCCAAACTGCAGAGATATAACTACTCCAATCGGAAGAGAGATTTTGTTGTTGATTAGATATGGAACAAGTAACACTGTGATTTAAACCGTCTTCTAATAATTTAAACTCGTTTGATTTTAAAGAAAGAAACGTAGCCAACGCACGCATGAGATGATTACGTTCTGAAGATTGTTTGGGTAGTGTTATAACTTTCAGTAAGAGGTCTTTTAAATGTTCAACAAGTACACTAGTGTTACTATGAAGAGAGTTGTTTGATTCTAAGATATCTTGATTTGCTGTACATTGCACTTTTAAATTAGGATTGGAGTTATTTTCAAGACGTCGAATTTCTTCTTTCAACAGCTAAATTAAATAAAAATCAGCTATACAGTTGAAGTTAATAATGATTAGTGGATTGTTGATTACCAGTTAACATGACAGTTGTTTGAAACAATATTCGATATAATTGGTTAGTAGAATATTGAGAATAAAAGTAATCTAGAGTAAATTAGTGGTCATAATATGGATTTACTTATGAAGGCCGATTTCGTCTACAAACTGACCTACATTGAATAGTTGAAATTCTTTAATTCAATTTAGTTTTATCATAACAGTTAAATCTGAACAATTGTGATATCTCCCTCCACCTAGTTAATCTACTATCGGAATATGAACCGGTATTTGTTGAACACTTTCAAGTTTTTCAATTGAAACAGATAATCTTTTGATGGTCATTATTACAAACTGATCATTTAAAAATTACGTTAATACTATTAAGAAGAATATAATCGTGATGTTACTGTAGTATCCAGCTACATGAAAAGCAGATTTTAAGCAGTTAAATATAAAAAAAACTAAAGGATTCATATTCACAGGGTTGTGGAGATTGTTAACTTTTGATTGAGATCATGAATCAATCAATGTTAGACCATCATTGAAAACCTGCTTAGTGGTCTAGAGTTTGAGCGTCGTCCACGGCATCCAGATTAATATATATATATATATATTTATTTATTTATTTAAACACATAAATATTGGTACAATGAAGCACCAGATAAATATGCGCCTCACAAATCTCATTCGATTTGTGTGAGGGCTGTGATACTGCCCAGGTGCCCAGACTGAAACAGGTGGTTTTCTTAGGGGGCCACACCCGGAGCCTTTGACTTGAATGTCTGATCCACAAGGCAGTGGAGCATCGTGAGGAGATGCAGTCCCATGGTAGCCGTTCACCAATGACAGGTTCGTCCGCCATTCGTTCCATCAGGATACTGGAGCCCATGTGCACCATTGGTTTGGAATCAGGGTTTTCCAACTCCCCTAGGTGGACCCTCCGTGTCCACCAACCCGGTTAAAGCGCCGGACATTCGCTTTTCGTCCTTTCACTTTCGTAAACAACACCCCCGCCACGAGAAGGCAGTGAGTAGGACTTCCCTGGCAGAGGCTATATATTCGCTGGCCATATGAGAGTATTTCGAGAGGGAGAGGTGACTCTCCCCACTCTCGGCCGTACCAGAGCATTTGGGGGCATATATATATATATTTATACCATAAAAATGTCCTTGGGGAACGTTACAAAATAGCATATTAAAAGAGACAGAAAACCAATAACATTTAAGGTCCTCCCAAGTGGGAACTACGACATGAAGGTGAAAACGGGTGCTTTGGAGCGAAAACAAGAAATCCAAGTAAGTAAAAACCAGAAAGTTTGATACGATATTAGTCACCAAGTTGGTTCTTATAGATCAATTCAGATTGAATTGCACATAAGAAATTAATTTACTAGAGAAGAAACAAAAGTACTAAGTATATTAAGCTAGCTACTAGTATGTTCAATGCATTTTGGAGCTAGGAATGCTAACATTTCAGTAAGTATCAATCAAAATGTAAGTTTGCGTTTAAATACGCAACCTAATTATTAAAAAACTCGTTTGCAATGCGCTGAGGTTTCTAGATTAACTATTTCATTGGACCCCCAATTTACATTTTTTTGCATACAAAGAGCGCTATGTGCTTGTACTAAATACTAAAGAGGACAGAATCGCCAACTCATTTTAACTGGATAATTTAATTTGATACAGTCACAACTTTGTGATGTTACGTTTTTATCCGTTATAGTTTTTGCTACCGCCACCAATCGAAAATTTATCAGCCATCTGTTGTATTCAGAGGGTATTGTGATGAGTATTGCAGCAGGTATTCGCTAGTTAAAGAGAAACTGTTAATATTATCGTTGTCCTCACGTTAAATTCAGGGTAATTTTAGATATATTAAGTTCTTGAAAACAATCCTGACACTTTCCTCTAAAAAAGGGAACAATATTTGAGTTGCCATTTTGATGCAGCTGCTAAGCGACAGCTGCCATATTGGAATCATCATGGTCGGAGTATACACATTCACTTCATGAGCAGCTAACGTTCAACACTCCTCTTCAAACGCAACTGCTGACAAAATGGTCAATTTTCTCATCAGTGAGTTGGTGTCAAACTTTATCATGTTATGCAATACCGTTCTTACGCCCAAATACTATTCGCTGGATAGGTGATAGGAGCAAACTGTCAAGACCAACTATTTGCTGAGTTGGTGTTACAAAAGTACCATGTAGATATCTTGTCATCTTAACCAACCATATGATAATTCATACGACTGATGAACTGATAATTATTTTTGACAAGAAACAGATTGTTTTGTGTGATGATACTCATAGCCACTAGTGACAAGAATTTTGAAAAAGATTGTGTAGTTCGGACTGTTTGTGTCAAGCGACCCAATTTGGAGTGGAAAAGCCTTTATTTACAATAGAGGAGACAGTAGAACACCTCGTATATATCTGGGAATTTATATAAAAGGTTGTGCAGTAACATCCAGACTGGAAAATGCTGATCCTTCAGGTTTCAGTGAAAACGCTTGTTCTATCGAAGGACAACAAAGTTGTTGCGAGTGTGTGAAATATGTTACTTTTAGTTGACCCATAGATAACGTGGTTTTTATTACAGATGTTGCAAGTTACTTCACAAAAATTTATTGTTAAATCTTACATTTACAAATCAATACTACAATATTATCTTGAATGAGATGTAAAGAATATTTTTAAGTAAAAAACTGTGTGAAATGGTTAGCCATCTGTCAGTGTTTTGACTATAATACAAGCTTGACGTTAGTAAGGAATTTAGATTAGTTGAATTATATACACAAAGTGAATGAATACGGTTGCAAAATATGAAATACTGAAACAGTTTAGATCTTAACTAATAGACAGGACAGTTGTACTTACGATCTCAAGTCGATTACAAAATTTGATATTTCTCAAAGTTAACTATTCCAGTAATAGAAAGCTGCAATTAATACCAAAGTAGAGAGTCAATACGAAAAGAACTGTGAAGTTACTTAGTCCACACTTGTGTCAGTCAGAGTCATATGAAGAGCACACGTAGTGATAAAATTCGAAGACTAAAATCAGTTTTTCAAATTGATCAAGTTCTACATTTTGCTATGGGGATTATTGAATTTGCATATTTTAAGTGGACGTACTTACATTGTTGGGTATCATTTTTATTACATAAAATATTTCTGTGTATCGATTATAAATAAAATTTGCGTATATTAATTTTACAACTAGAAATATACTCCGTGAGAGGGCAGTTTCACATTTAGGAACCAAAAACCATCCAAGCTTTTTACAGCATGAACAGTACAGTTCAATCATGTGTAACAACCATACAAATACCAAAATTCTTTCCCGGCTAATTGTCCTATGATAATGTGTTATATTAAACAGTTCTTTAAAATATAACAATAAAATGCAATATGCAAGTATCAAGCTCACTTTGTTTTGCTCAAATAAACGAGTTACATTTGTTTCACTTTCACTCAACAATTCAGAAAGATATTCAACTCGACGTTGTTGATTAGTTAAAGCAGACTGTACACCAGCTAATTGATTAGGTTGAACATTACGAACTTCTTGAAATGATTTAACAGAATGCTGAGATGACATATTTCCATATGGTGAATATTGATTGGGATGATTAAGAAGCTGTTCCAAAGTAGGTATAGTGATCTGAAAAAAGATAGTTGGTCAAAAATAGATCAATGTGTTTTAATGACCATGGCCAGATTAATCTTGAAAACTATACAGTCTAAACATCAATATCAATCAATCTGTAATTATACCAAAAAGATAAGGGCCAGTCACATGATATGTTAAGAGTTGCTAGTACAGTGATTATACTGGGTTTTTTTTAAACTCTACCCTTGAATTATTCAACAAAGTGCATCAAATAAAGTCTAGCCCAATAAATCGCATTCTTATCAGAACAGGAGTTTGTGGAGATTGTAGTAGTTTAATGGTTGAATTCGTGAGTCAATTTAAGCTGATTTTTAAAGTTACATAGAGTAACTCAACAAAAGTGAGCATTTATTCGTCATATCAACTGTTGGTAACTAAGGTAGATAATAATTAGGTACATTACAAGTGAAGTGTGAATCGCTGTGTTTATTCAGTCGAACTTCAAGAAGTGATATTACGCGATCGCCAAGGTGGAAAGAGATGCAGGGGGTGTATTTGAATTTGCAGACATGTGGTTGAAGGTTTAGGTGTTAGAAAACCTAAGCTATTGTTCATAGCTAAACATTTATATGATACTGAATGCAATGTGCAGAAATATAGTGATTTTGGTAACTAATAATTTTCAGGATCTGTTCGTTAGCCAATTAAACTATTTATAATACCATTTCTCGCACAATTATAAGAAGATAGATTGATTAAAAAGTAGAAGCTGGATCTTAAAATTTTAAAATCCTAGACAAAAGCAATAAAAGATAAATGCGACAAAGTTTGAAAAAGACGTTAAATTCAATTTTTGTGTACTGATTAGGTATAGAGTAGCTAGTTATTAGGAAAAATAATCAAAAGTAAACAAACGGTAAGATAAAAAGTATTACTAGATAACAGCTCCATTACAGACAAGAGAACAACCAAGTACAAAAGCGTTTAAGTATAGTTTAGATAAACACTGTAAGAGTGAAATGTAACTAGATAAAAAGCAGAGGAGTGGAGAAATATTCCCTATTTAAATACTCAGATAGTAAATTAAAACCCCGAAAACAATCAATATACACATCGATTTAGGATTCTTACAACTTCGAGTGAAAAATATTGGGATTAATTATATTAGAAAACGAAACTATGGTAAGCAATGGTGTTGTATATTTAAGGATGTCTAAACTTCGTAAATAGTCTCCTGGAAAATGATGTTTATTAAACACTATAAAATTCTGAAAACTGTTTAAACTTAACTTTTCTCCACATGTAGGAAGAGCTCATATAAACAAAAATACGTAGTAGCATTGAGGTCCCCTGTATTCTTCTTCCATTATTACAAGTCAACATAATATAAAAATAATAGGAGGTTGTCACACGACCCCAGGCCGTAAAACGTCTTAAATATTACTGAAGTAGGTTCAACATTACGAATGATTGTTTTTGTATATATAAATGGGGGGTTTGAATTTCCCAATAGCCAAGGCTTCTATAAACCTGTGAATCCATTCTTTGAAATCTTTATGCGACGCTTAAAAAACTGTGTTAATGTCAATTCTATGACACGTTTCAACCATATGTTTTGATAAAGGTGAATATAGTTTTCTAACTCCTACGTTTATCGGAACGCCTGAGTCTTACTAATTCGCAAGTCATCCAGACACCCTTATTTGTATCATTCGATAACTTCTCCCTATGTACATGTACCCACACAAACATGTGAACTGGTAAATGCAGCAGGATACGATGTAATCGTTTTTGAAATGTTCAGGCCTATATGGAATCATGGGGTTTGTTTTTCCAATGACAATCGATTTGGCAGTGAAGTATGTCTAGATGGACTCAATAGCGTACATAATGCTATAGTGCATACTGATGAGGAAGAAAACAATAAACGATTTCTTTTTAGACACCTTTGAGCTGGTGCCATCTAACATTGGTTATGTCCGATTTGGAGAGAAGCTTATCAATCCAGAAAAACGTGAGCCGTAGAAAAAGTTATTTTTATAAGTTGTAGCTGATACTTAGTTATGCAACGACGTAATACAATGAATAACTCACTTGATGTACAGACTTCTTAGAGTTTTCTTCATCTGCCAATGAATAATGCTCACTGCCACTGTGACTTAGAGAGCAATTCCTAACTGCATGATCTGATTCCGTATCAGATTCCGTGGAGGAAATCATAGGATTATCGGCTCCATCTCCTTGAACTCTTTTATGGTGTGAGTTTGCCTGAAAAAAAAACATTTCATGAAAAACTAACTCTTTTACAATATTTGGCATGAACGTAACTAAGTTTCTCAACTTACATAATTGCAGGAACAGTGCATTATCATGGGATTTTCTAAAACAGTGATCTAACTATAAGAAATTAATGTTATTCACTGAATCAGTCTACAACAGTTGATTAATTTAGCTCTACTTGTTTCAGAACAATAATACTTTAATTACTGTAAATTATAGTGATATATAACTCCGCCTGTAGCTCTTCTAGAGTTACTGCCGGTCCCAAGCCCGAGTAAAGGAGGAGGGTTGGGCATGAGGTTAGCGACCCCGTCCCGTAGAAAAGCTAACTCGCTAAAAAAACGCTAACCAGAAAAAATAATTCAAACCACTTAAACTCTGCCCTCCGAGTTGAAAGAATAATTATGACGTCTCATGATGAAAGCCGAGATTCTTCGGAAGTCACGAGACCGATGCACCTTCTAACAACCAGAGCATCACTCTTTATAGGTACATGGAACGTCCGGACAATGTGGGAGACAGGAAAGACCAGCCAAATAGCAATGGAAATAAGGAGATACAACTTGGCAGTACTCGGAATCAGCGAAACCCATTGGACACAAACTGGACAACAAAGGCTAGGTACAGGAGAGATGCTGCTGTACTCCGGTCACGAAGGCGAAAATGCTCCACACACTCAGGGAGTTGCTCTAATGCTGTCCAAAGAAGCAAGAAATGCACTTGTGGGATGGGAATCTCATGGACACAGGATAATCAAAGCATAATTCAGAACAAAGAAGCAAAAGAACACAATGAACGTTATCCAATGTTATGCACCCACCAATGATAGCAACGACGATGATAAAGATCAGTTCTATGAAAGGCTGTAATCAATTATAGCAAAGTGCTCACGAAAGGACCTCACCATCCTGATGGGAGATCTAAATGCTAAAGTTGGAGTGGACAACACAGGATATGAAGATATAATCGGACGACATGGACTAGGAGAGAGAAATGAAAATGTGGAAAGACTTGCAAACCTATGTGCTTTCAACAAATTGGTTATAGGCGGCACAATATTCCCACACAAACGCATACACAAAGCTACATGGATCTCACCAGACCACACCACAGAGAACCAGATAGATCACATCTGTATCAACAAAAAATTCCGAAGATCAATGGAAGATATGAGAACACGGAGAGGAGCTGACATAGCTTCAGATCACCACCTGGTTGTGGCCAAGATGAGACTGAAGCTAAAGAAAGACTGGACAACTGGACAAACAGCACTACAAAGGTTTAATACAGCCTTCCTTCGAGATACTGACAAGCTCCATGAATTCAAGATAACTCTCAACAACAGGTTCCAGGATCTACTGAAAGAACAAGAAACTACTTTGGAGGACAACTGGAAAGGGATAAAAGAAGCCCAATTGAATCCACCGAACATCGAAGCAGCCCACACTGACCTTCCAATAGATATCACTACACCAACGATCGAAGAAGTCAAGATGGCCATCAAACAAATCAAAAGTGGGAAGGCGGCAGGACCTGACAATATACTAGCTGAAGCATTGAAGTCAGACATTGAAATAACTGCAAACATGCTTCACCTTCTATTCAAAAAGATTTCGGAAGAGGAACAAGTGCCAACGGACTGGAAAGAAGGATATCTCATCAAGATACCAAAGAAGGGAGATCTGAGCAAATATGAGAATTACAGAGGCATCAGTTTGCTATCAGTACCAGGAAAAGTTTTCAACAGAGTGCTGCTGAATCGGATGAAAGACGCAGTGGACGCTGAACTTAGGGATCATCAGGCTGGATTCCGTAAGGATCGGTCGTGCACAGACCAGATTGCGACACTACGGATCATCGTTGAACAATCAGTTGAGTGGAACTCATCACTATACGTCAACTTCATCGACTATGAGAAGGCGTTTGACAGCGTGGACAGGAGAACATTATGGAAACTTCTTCGACACTATGGAGTTCCTCAGAAGATCGTCAACATTATCCAAAACTCATACGATGGATTACAGTGCAAAGTGGTGCATGGAGGACAGCTGACAGATGCATTTCCAGTAAGGACCGGAGTCAGACAAGGCTGTCTACTCTCCCCATTCCTCTTCCTTCTAGTGATTGACTGGATTATGAAGAATTCGACATCCGAAGGGAAATACGGAATACAATGGACTTCTCAGAATCAATTAGATGATTTGGACTTCGCAGATGACCTAGCCCTCCTCTCTCATACAAACGAACAAATGCAGATGAAGACAGCAAATGTAGCAGCAGCCTCCGCATCGATAGGCGACACGGAGAACACCATCCCAATCACACTTGATGGCGAAACTCTGGAAGAGATGGAAACATTCACGTACCTGTTTAGCAGTATCGTTGATAAATAAGGAGGATCGGATGCAGATGTAAAGGCGAGGATTGGCAAAGCAAGGGCAGCATTGCTACAATTGAAGAACATATGGAACTCAAGACAACTGTCAACTAATTTGAAAGTCAGAATCTTCAATACGAACGTCAAGACAATCCTACTGTACGGAGCTGAAACGTGGAGAACTACTACGATCATAATCAAAATAGTACAAGTATTTATAAACAGTTGTCTGCGCAAAATACTCATCACTCACTGGCCAGATACCATCAGCAACAGCGTTTTATGGGAGAGGACAAACCAGCTTCCAGCTGAAGAGGAAATTAGGAAAAGACGTTGGAAGTGGATCGGACACACATTAAGGAAATCACCAATGCGCATTACAAGGAAATCCCTAACTTGGAATCCGGGAGGGAAGCGGAAAAGAGGAAGGCCAAAGAACACATTACACCGGGGAATAGAAGCAGATATGAAAAGGATGAATAGCAACTGGAAAGAACTGGAAAGGAAGGCTCAGGACAGAATTGGATGGAGAATGCTGGTGAGCGGCCTATGCTCCTCGACGAGGGGTAACAGGCGTAAGTAAGTAAGTAATATATGATTTGCTTCTTTACTCTCAGTGGTATATGTGCTCTACAATCTGATTAGTATTTCACTTGTGGCTGTTAGTTATCATGGTCATTACACTATTCCTCTAGTTTCCTCCACCTATTTTTGATATTACTGTGATGTGCGCTACCTATATGGGTAGATATGAGTAGTATGTAGCAAGGATTGGAAGTGGAATTCTTACTGGCAGAAAAGGGAAATAAGAAAAGAAAGGAAAACAGAGAGCAATCGGAGTGACAACACGAATGGAGCAACAATGGAATTTGTAAGGGACAACTCAAGGAAGATATGTAAACGGTGTATTTAATGTATTGGTTTCATATTTTGCAGTGTGTAATTTTGGATGGTACAACTAGTTTTCGCCTGTCCATGTCTTCGTCTTTTACAATTGGTGTCGCTGCTGCTACATAGAATGAAGATTCCGTATCCATGAAAGTTTAAAGAAGGGGGTGTACAGACTTTCCTGGAGGAGTGTGCGGATGTTGCGGGACTGGTGGGAGTTGGGGAGCCCAAGGTGAATACGGTGGTTCTGGGGACGCTGCTGAGAGGCAGAGTAAAGGCAGTGCATGAAAGGATAGAGGATGCCGACGGCGAAATGGAGTGAGAGGCCTTTACGGAGCGGTCGGTTACAGATGTTGACAACCCAGAGGACTGTCAGGAGACGTTGTAGAAATCTAGACTGGCAAAGTTGACGGTGGATGGTGACCAACTAGTGTTGGCAGTAGGGTGATCCTAGCAGCGCACGACGTAACAATCTAGTTTAGTGATATTATCGACCGCCTTAAACTGAAGTACATGGAGCGGTAATCAATGATAAGTCGAGTGTTCTGATTAAAAACCATCGCCTCGAAACAATATAGTAATAAATAGATACGATAGTGCCACAAAACTGACCAATTTTCTGCTCTTCTTAAACAGTTCGACGTGTTGAACATACAAGTTTTGACAACGACAGCGCAATTAGAGTAAAATTTATCAAACGAGTAGATATTTAGAAACAAAGAGTCAAATACAAAAGATAAGCGCATTTATAATATTTTTATCTCACTTAAGATTCAGAGAACAAATGCATTCATTAATCACATATGCAAACCATATTTATTAGTGTGGAGATGTTAGTCTAAATTATCTAATCTATTCGCCGTTACTCAAAGATATGGTTTGTTTGAGACTATCTAATGACTTATTCCACAAGTCGTTTTTTATTTTCGTACCGTAACATAGATGATGGCTTTTTGGAATGAATACAACAACCAGATAAGATGTCATCCATATATACAGAAGTTGCCAAATATATCTTACCTTCTTTATAGATACGAGGCTTTAAAATAACGAAGCACTAGTAGAACACATTATGTACACAATTTAATTGTGAATCTGCTTTGGTTCTTTTAAAGATGGCTATCGACGAAATCAAGCCATAGACACAAGATTTCTGATTAGTATTTCACTTAAAGCTAATGTAAAATGAATATTGTAAGATATACTGTTAATTTACTTCTGTTCTCTTAGTGTAGTGAACGAGAACACCAGTGGGGACAAAGGAATGTATTTGAATACAAAATTACAGAACGTCTTAGTAAAATCTGAGAACCATACAGTAAACACTTCATTTGCAAAATGTCAATCAATCGTCTCAGACTTCATTGTTTTTTTCGTTTCCACACCAATTATTCTTTGTTCTTCGATCTTCTTAACCATCTGCCGTCAGGCATTTCACTTTCGACTGATGATACATACTACTAATATCTGTCGACATCAGTAGCACACATCACATTAGTATAAGTAGTATAAAAATTCTAAATACTTAAAATAACATTAAACTGGTATTTAGCTATCAGTAACAAAGACAGAGAAAGCTATATATCAATGAGCTGCAACAAACTGACATGAAAAAATATCTGATATAAACAGCAAGAATAAACGATGGATCAAAGTAGTATGTATGAAATTAACATCAGACAGAAACATTATAAGTTGTCGAAACAGAAAACACACCAACAATCATGTATGCTCTTAGACAAAGGTGTACTATGAACTAAGGTTACTAGTGACAAACTATTTAGCATATTTAATGTCAAGTTAGAATGTTTGTTAACAGAACACTTACACTTAAGGGATTCAAATTATCAGGTATTGAGAAATTCCGTCTATGACCATGGACCTTTTCGTATCCATGCGAGTTTTGAATGGACGAATGGTTTGTATGAATGATACGGGCTAACTTTGTCTCCCATAATTCTTTTTCTTGACTAAAATATAAAAAAACAATGAAGCTGTTTAGCTGATGGTGGAACGGTTAGACGATTTCCCTCTTTTTATATGTTTGGTTTCAAGTCAATTATATATAATATGCATCTATACTAGATAACACTAGACAGTATAATACATAATCATTGAACATGAAAATATAAATTTTACTCAAGTCAGATAATCATGAAGTATCAGATGTTCCCTATCAATCTGTACTATCTACACACAGTAATTTGAACTATTTAATGATTTATTTACATATTAGAACTTGTGAAACGCTCAGTAATCAAAGAGATAATATCAACTAATTTCTTGACGATTTATCTCAGTAATTCACTCTTTATAGCCTGAATGCACATAAGTTGAAACAATATTTTTATTCAATCTAATGATAGGGATATAGCATGTACCCTATTATTCAGTATTCAATATTGAATCAGGGGAACAACTAAACGTACAAAAGAGTAAAGCCAAAATGGACAAAACGTTTTGAAGTGAGAACTCATACTGTAATATCTACAAAATGAAAGTAAGCTTATCAAAATTACATTAGATAAACAAAGTAAAATAACTTCTCACCGTAATTCACTTTCATATTTTTGAGTTTGCAACATAAGTCGTTCTTCATAAAGACGTAATTGACTAGTATACTTTTGTTCTAGTTCTTTAAGTTCAGTAGAAAGACGATTTTCACATTGTTGAGTTATTGACAGTAGTTGATCCTCTAAGGATTGCTTTTGTTTTTGAGATTGGCATAACAGTTCAGTGTGTCTGTGAAAAAAAATACATAGCTTGTCTATAAAACAGAAAAAGGCTCACTATAAAAATCAATAAGTGAATAGGTTAAACACTGATAAAAATGTTAACAGTAAAACAAACTTAGAAGGGAAGACAAATTTGATAAATTTTAACTCTTACGTAACTCGACTGTAGTATGGTATTGAGTTATAAATTTATGAATAGGTATACTTTATTTTGTTTATGCAGTTTCTAATTAGTACTTCATCATTTCTCAAACCATCTTCACTGAATTTCCTATGTACCTTGATTCCTGATACATACCTACAGCTCTTTGGAAGTACTTGCTTCCGGAAATTCTAACAATGAACTTCTGGGAATATCTGATTTTGGATGAGTGATTATCTTGCTTGGTGTAAAATAAACCATAAAATCAGTATAACGTTGTGGAGATTGTTGGATTTTGATTGAGATCATGAATTGATCAATGTTAGACCACCATGAAAAACCTGGAAGCACTGGACTCGTTCAACTATGAGACTCCTCAGCAGTGCGCACCTACGATCCCAAATGCGAGACTCAAACCAACAACTTCGGTCTTGCACGAGAACGCTTAACCCCTAAACCACTGAGCCGTCATCCAACGGTGTTAATATCTAACTTCAACCAATCTACGATATTGGGCGATCATCTTCCATTGTCTTCGGTGGGTAACTGCATCAAATCCGACACGGTTGAACTTCACTGGTTACGACTTCTCACTAGAACTCTAAGAATTACCTCTCAAAGCTAGTCACTAGTGAGTACATGATAATTATCAGTATAGGGTTGTGGAGATTGTTAACTTTTGACTGAGATCATGAGTCGATCAATGTTATAAAAGTATAGACAAACAGCTGTCCAATGCTTCCTGATTTTCGATGGATTTCTAACTCAAGTTGGTTTTTGATATCAACAAGAAAACCTAGTAATTCACAAATATTTAAAAGCAAATACAGTGTTGGAAAATGAAACGATAAAAATTCAAGAGATCGAGTTATGTCGACTGATCGATCACTAATTAGTGACCAGCATCGTGTTTTAAATCTTGGCGCTGAATGTACTCACTCAACCAACTGTAATACGACTACTGGTTTGATTGACTTGATATCGTGAGTACTATCCTCGGATATGAGACAGATCAATTCATTTTTCATTTTCCCATAGATCTTGAGTTCCATACATACCTTCTTTTCGGATAATATTCTTAATATTTAATTCTTCTCACTGTCTTTGACAATATAACTGTTTCAACTCCTTTGTTATTGATCTTGTTAATTTAATCTCGTTGGACGGATTTATTATGGTGAATTAGGCTTTACGTTAATGATGACTGACTACTGATAGCTGGGAGTTAATTGGTTAGAGGTAATCGGTAGGAAGCCCTATACTTTAGTTTTTAGTTAGCATTCATCAACAAGATGTATCTACAACTTTTAGTGAACTGATACTTGTTGTACGATTTGAACCCAAATCACTTAGTTTCACTGTGAAAGACGTTACTAGTGAGACAGATATGCGGGTCGCAATTGGCCTAATATAGGATGGCGATATTTACACTGACTGATTACTGAGTCCAAACGAATGTGATGTTTACTTAGTTCTTAATGCAGATCAAATACCATCGATTTGTTTTATTTATGTGTTTATTTGTTTAGTATGTATTTGGAAATAATAAAAAATATACTTACCTTGTTTTAACTTCGATCAATTCTTTCTTTAAAAAATCACATTCTGATTGTGCTAAGGACGCATGCAATTCAGCTTCTTTCATACGATTTTGTACGTCAAAAAGATTGTGTTTCATTGATTCTAATTCATTTGAATAATAAAATGATCTGCTCTCAATATCAGAGTGGTTAGTACTCACCCCTTCAGAATTAGGACTATCATTAGTATTTGTTGTGTTCGCCTCATTGGTTAGAGTGCGTACGTTGCTTAGAGCATGCTGAGCCTTAGATTCAAAATAAAAGTTTGAAATGAAAAAATCTTTCACATAAAATGATCGATTGAATAAATTGATACAACTTGAGTATATATATATATATATATATATACCATCCACAAAACCTTAATTTTCCGACACATATCGACAAATAGTATTCCAATATTTAAAGAATTGGTAATAAAAATTAGCCCAATCTAATGTGAGGAAATTAAAAATGAATGACTTTCATTAAATTGAAAATACATTCTAACTTCTTTTGTAGAGATATTCTATCATAAAGAAGATCGTACTATCAGCCATGTAGTTTCCCAATAAAAAAGAGCTCTCCAGTAACGTCATTCACCTTTCTTCGTATCCACTTATTACTGGCTCACTTATTGGACATAAGAGAAAATTAAAAAGCGCTCACAGTTTACTATCATGTGTAGATTATCAGTTAAGCATATAAAGTTTGTGAGTCTCCACTTAGTATGTATAACAGTGTTAATAGGATGTACATTGGATTCAAGGATGTTCCGTGCATTATTGTATTGGAGTACGCCGACTGGCCATTTATAATCTAGTGAGCGCTAGAGGATAAATGAAGACTCAAGAATCTTCCCATGTAAAATTATAAATATACTGACGTTTTTCTTACCGTGATTCTTACTCGCATTCAACCTAATTTAATTGGAATATAATTACGTTCCTATTCAACCGTATTCTGATTTTGGGCGATATAAAGTGTCCGAGGAATATTAAGCAATAAGAGTGGCTGGATCGTAATAAGACAGTTCATAACAAACGGAGACAATAGTAATCACCGAGCTAACAATTGGACTTGGCCATGTTGGTAGGTGTAGACTACCTGGTTAAGATTTCGCGAGATGATAGCAACCGATGGTTAGAAACCTTGAATGATATGGCTCAAAATCGTTTGTAATGGCGAAGGTGCATCGACTCTTTGTGTTCTACCAAATTCTAACCTTTTGAATTCTTCATGTCTCTATCCTTTTTCTCTTTCCAAATTTATTTGACTGGATTATACTCCTTCAATAACATCTTCAAACCCTAATCTTTCACATGATGCTTATACTCTTACCACTTCTACCAATATAGGATTTGAATCGACAACTTCATCTCGGTGCTAATTTGGTATGGCAACTCGAACTGATGTACGTACGTACGAAGTTCTACGTTGTGACTGACTGACTGAATCACCGAGCTGAAACATACGAAAATCCTTCATTTGGTTTCTTCCCACTAGTGAATTATAATTCACTGTCCCAGTCATGTTGGACAAGCGTAAATGTTATCAACAAATGTGACTATTAGTTCTAGTTCTCTCGTTATTAGTATGATGTTAATATGACTTAAAACGTTTTTTTTTATTATGAAATGAGATGCAAGTACATTCATTTAAAAAATTTAATATGTGAGGACATCATCAAGGAGCTAATCAATCTAATCCGATAAGTGGCAAGTCCCAACGTATTAAACTGTAATTCAGTACATTTGGAACAACAGAGTGGTAAATAAATGAAAGGAATCACTTGTAATACAGTCATGTACGAAAAATTGACATTTCTCCCCCTTTTAAACAAAATTATCACATTCAACTTATCAATCGCAGAATCATATTTATATACCAAATACTAGAGTTAGGAAAAAAAGCTTTTTTTTTTAATTATTAGAGTTATTATTTACCTTGACTTTGTATGCATTATATTCGTTTTGCAACTTTTGAAGTCGATCCAATGCTAAACATTTATCATTTTGAAGATTTTCACATAAGACATGTTGTTGAGTTAATTCACTACGCAAATGTGTCAGGTTACTCACCAAATTTTCTTTTTCCTTTTCAATATTAGATAATTTTTCAGTTAGACGATTCAATTCTTGATTATTTTCAACATTTACAGATTGACTTTTTTGAAATTCTAAAAATTTCTTCTGTTGTTCAGTTGCATCTAATTTAGTTTTAACTAAAAGATTTTTCATACGATGTAGTTTTTCTTCAGAATTTTGTAATTGACTTTTTAAATCTGGAATTAAATTCTCAAAGATTAAAATCTTTTCATTTGCACTAATTAATTCCGATTCTTTATTTTTTAATTTATCTGACAACAGTTTCTCTTGTTCAATATTTATTTCATTATAATCAGTTAGAATGCATACATCGGAAGATGTAATACACTTATTATTGAATGTGTAATAATAATTTAAAATTTGTTTTAATTCATCAAGGAAATCGTTTAAACTCTTCGCAACTTTATCATTTTGAAAATTATCCCAAGTAAAATAATCTATACACAAATTACATTGTTTATTATTGTTTACTTCTTCATAGTATTTAATCAATGGTAATAAAAAAGAATCATAAAATAAACTTTTCCACTTAACATATGATAATGAATGTATCATATCTAATGAATTATTATTACATTTTGCTTGTAATTGTAATAATTTAGCATTATACATTTCATTGATATGAGTAACTGATTTAAGTTTATTTGATAATTGATTAAATGAAAATTCAGCATATTCAACACTATGTTTTAATTCATTTACTCTTTCTTCTAAAATATGTAATTCTTCATTACAAACTTCATTTGAATAAACATGTTTGAATTCATTTGAAAATTTATTATGACAAGAATCATGTTCTTCTTTTTGTTTAATAGAAGATGTTTTTAATGTGTGAAAATATTGATCTAAATCTGTTGATAGAGTTTGACAATAATTTTCTTGCTTTAGGATTTCACTTTTTAATGAAGAATGATTAAAAGGTATATGATAATTATCAGTTGAACAGGGATTGATCTCTTCTAATAATCTGTTACACTCAGAAAATACTAATTTTAATTCATCTTTTGATAGATTGTTTCTATTGTAGAGCTTTAATGACTGTAATGCAGTGTTAAACTGTTGGAACAATGGTGAATCCTTTCCATCAAAATTATTTAAGTTGTCTACTTGTGTTTCAGCGCATAGATAGTTAACAGGAACTATAGTTATTTCATTTAAACAAGATACATGTAGATGTTTTTCAGAATTCTGCAATGAATCCTTAGTGAATGTTTCACAAGAAGAAGAGGCTGAAATTGTACAAACAGGAATTTTCGTCGTCTTATCACCAATATTGTCAGTTGATACACAGAAATTTCTTTTATGTTCATTATCTGCGGCGTTTTCTAATGATGTACTTCCAAGCTTCAACGTTTCTGCTTCATTCATACAAATAGATTCATTTAAAAAATCAGAAGTACAACACGATTTATCAAATTTTTCGACGGTTCCACTACTTTCTTGATGAGTCTTGCTATGGAGTGACTTCAGATATTCCAATTCTGATTTAATTTTTGTGTTAACTTTTCTCTCTTTTACCACAAGAGCTTTCAACTTGATCACTTTCTCCTGTTCTGCATCAAGCAACGATTTGAGGTCGTCCATTTGATTAGCTGACCTGAAAAACAACAAACTAGAGCAGATAAACAAAGACAATAAATCTTCATACAAAAAAAAATAATTATGTTGACTTTACCACAGTAAAAGAAGGGGGAATTTAACCAAGTTTAGTATGTTTTAGTCGCAACAAAAAAACTGGACGAAAACTGACCATTTAACAGGCAACACAACTTAAATACACTCCACCTGTAACTCTTTTAGAGTTACTGCCAGATGTGAGAACCAGGAGAGGAGTTGACATTGTTTCAAATCACCACCTGGTTGTGACCAAGATGAAACCGAAGCTAAAGAAATACTGGAAAACTGGGGAGACAGCATTACAAAGGTTCAATACAGCCTTCCTTCGAGATACTAACAAACCCAACCAATTCAAGATAACTCTCAACAACAGGTTCCAAGCCTTACAGGATCTACTGAAAGAAGACACTACGATGGAAGACAACTGGAAAGGGATCAAAGAAGCACCAACTTCAACGTGTCAGGAGGTTCTTGGTCCTAAGAAGCATCATCACAAGGAATAGATCTCTATGGGAACGCTGGACAAGATTGATGAAAGGAAGATCAAGAAAATAGCAATTAACAACAGTCGAACACGGGCAGAGAAAGTCAAGGCGTAAGCAGAGTACGCAGAAGCAAACCAACAAGTGAAGAAAAGCATTAAAGCCGAAAAGCAGAAATACATGGGAGAACTAGCAACAACGGCAGAAAAAGCTGCGAGAGAAAGATGAAACAATTATATGATACAACGAAGAAACTGGCAGGGAGAGATAGCATACCGGAGAGACCAGTCAAGGACTAAGAAAGGAAAAAATTATCACGAAGATTCAAGAACAGACGAGTAGAATAGTTCGAGCAACTGTTCAAAAAACCAGCCCATCGAAGCAGCAAACACAAACCTACTTATAGACGTAACTACACCAACGATCGAAGGAGTCAAGATGGCTATCAGACGAATCAAGAGCAGCAGGACCTGACAATATACCAGCTGAAGCATTGAAGTCAGACATTGAAGTAATAGAAAACATGCTTCACCTTCTACTCAAGAAGATTTGGGAGGAGGAACAAATGCCAACGGACTGGAAAAAAGGATACCTCATCAACGTACCAAAGAAAGGAGATCTGAGCAAATGTGAGAATTACAGAGGCATCACATTATTGTCAGTACCAGGAAAAAATTTCAACAGAGTGTTACCCAAAAGGATAAAATAAGCAGTAGACGCCCAACTTCGAGATCAACAGGCTGGATTCCACAAGGATCGGTCATGCACAGACCAAATTGCGACACTACGGATCATCGTAGAACAATCAGTTGAGTGGAACTCGTCACTATACATCAACTTCATTGACTATGAGAAGGCGTTCTACAGTGTAGACCGGAGAACATCATGGAAACTTCCTCAACACTATGGTGTGAATAGCTGAGAAGATTGTCAACGTTATCAGGAACTCATACGACGGACTACAGTGAAAAGTAGTGCATGGAGGACAGCTGACAGATGCATTTCCAGTAAGGACCGGAGTCAGACAAGGTTGTCTACTCTCCCCCTTCCTCTTTATTCTGGTGATTGACTAGATTATGAAGACCTCGACATCTGAGGGGAAGCACGGAATATAATGGACAGCTCAGAATAAATCAGACGATTTGGACTTCGCAGATGACCTAACCTTCCTATTCCATACACACGAACAAATGCAGATGAAGACAACTTGCGTAACAGCAGCCTCTGCATCAATAGACCTCAATATACACAAAGGAAAAAAGTAAAAACCTCAAATACAACATGGCGGGCACTAACCCAATCACACTTGATGGCGAAACCCTGAAAGATATGGAATTTTTCACGTCCCTGGGAGGCATCATTTATAAACAAGGAGGATCTAATGCAGTAATGTGAGGGTGAGGATTGGCAAAGCAACAACGTCATTCTTACAGTCGAAGAACATATGCAACTCAAAACAACTGTCAACCAATATCAAAGTCACAATCTTCAATGCGAACGTCAAGACAGTTTTGCTGTGCGAAGCTGAAAATTGGAGAACTACTACAACCATCATCAAAATAGTACAAGTATTTATAAACAGTTGTCTAGGGTTGGATGGAGAGTGCTGGTGGGCGGCCTATGCTCCTCCGCAAGGTTTAACAGGCGTAAGTACCGTTTAGATATGTGATCTATCACTGGCTGTGCGCATAAATGATCGGATAAACCATAGTCCGTCTAGAATTAACATGGTCAAGAGTCAAGTGTACATATCAGACTATACTCGATAACTCAATCTGTATTACTAAAATTCAACTACATTTTTCGTTTACATGACAGTACTGTGAACTGATTTATGGAAAAGCGATGATTTTCAGCACAAGTTGTATGACAAATAAAGAGTATAAACCAATACTATTGTACTGAAGTGTGACCTACGATCTAAAAACTGGATTGTGATAAAGAGCGCGAAGGATATCAACAACCAGGAGAAATGTGGTTACTAAAGTTTTTTTCTATACACAAATCCACACATACTGAGAGTCTAAATCCCATTAGAACCTCAACATTCACGCTTGCTATGCTTTATTAGGAGGGGAGAAAATATTCGTGTTCACTAAAGTTAGACATAGATAAAAGGTTGAAGAAAAATCTCTAGTAGATACTACTCAGCAAGCACATGTCTGTTGTACAAACGAATGAATTAGGAAGATGTAATTCGGATACCTTACATGAGACAAATGGGAACCCACATTGAAATGAATGAAAAAAGAGCAAGGCAAGTAAAAAAACCTGTAAAAAGCGAAGTACGTCGCTCTCAATGTCTTGGATATGGCCTTTGATCAGTTTTTCGACTCATCTAGATTTCATTGTATTCCGGCTAAAAGATTAGGCATCTTTTGCAAGCAGTGAACATTGAGGTACAATATAACCTACCAAATACGCACTAAAGTGTACATATTGTAAATGTTTATGTTCAGTAAGTAAGTTGATGGTGTTAGGTATCGTTTAGGACAGAAATTTGATAAAAAACAAACCACTGGTTAGAAACCTCGAATGAAATGGTTAAAAACCGGACGAGACTAAACTATATGGACGAGCCAATCAGAAGCTCTCGCGGATTTTCAAGGTCACGGCGCTAAGTTCGGTACCTGATGCTTACATACGGTCGGTTTACAACGGATTTTACAGAAAACATGATAAATAAGCGTCTACAAGATAAGTTATCATAAGATTTTGGCGCAAAACTCAATTATACATTTGGATAGAGTTGTGGCATTATAGTTGATGTCAGTTCGTGATGAAAACCCTAAGTATAATTCCTAACCTTAACCATGAACTGTAAATCATAATTTGAATTCTTCACACGGGTTTATGACCCTCATTTAGTCTTAGTTATTACGTTTACACTCTCAGATTCACTCTAGCGTCGCTCAAATGTCGTTCATAATTCATAGTCTCATCTTTAACCCTAAACCGTAACCCTAATCTTAAACCCTGAACCATACCAACATACCGACAACACTGAAACTATGTGGTCGAGGCTGAAAGAATTTTCGGGACTTTATCATGGTTTCAGAGGTCGGCTAATATGGAGCCACAGGGATGAGTTCCTGTGCACTATGATTTTAGAACTTCTGAACCTATATCTAACCTTGATAAGTTTTTGATTCATGTAAAAGAACAGTATCCCCTTTAATTTTTGATTTTTATATAATATATATTTACTGTATGCTAACTGTCTTCTGATTGGCTAATATTTCTCAAGGTCATTTAAGATTCGTTCAAAGGTCGTCCATGTTCTTTAGTCTCGCCGTTGACACTCAGAGTCGCTCAAAGGCCGTCCATAATCTATAGTCCCATCCTTAACCCTAAACCTTAACTCTAACTGTAAACCTTAAACCATACCAATATAGCAACGATATTGAAGCTGTGTGGTCTAGGCTAATAGAATTTTTGAGACTATCATGGTTTCAAAGGTCGACTTCTATGGAGCCATATGGATGTGTTCATGAACCGTATGCACTATGATTTTAGAACTTCTGAACCTATATCTGACCTTGAGAAGTTTTTGACTAATATAAAATAAGTATATCCACTTTAATTCTTTGGTTTTGTGTAATAAATTTTTACTGTACACTAACTGTCTTCTGAATGGCTAATATTTCTCAAGGTCATTTAAGATTCGTTCAAAGGTCGCCCATGTAGTTTAGCCTCGCGAGACTATAATTTATGGACGGCCTTTGAACGAATCTTAGCCTTGAGAAATATAAGCGAGTCAGTAAACAGCTAATGTGGAGTAGAAAAATATCATACAAAACCAAAGAATTAAAGTGGATACACTTCTTTTATATGGTCCTACATCTTGTTAGAAAGAGGTTCAAAGGTCCACAAATCGTAATGCATAAGGTAGAGGAACTCATATATATGGCTCCATTATAGTCGGTCTCTGGAGCCATGATAAGGACACAAAAACGATCTCAGCATCGACCACATAGCTTCAGTATTGCTTGTGTGTACTCCGGCTGTGTAATTTTATCATTTTTATTATGGGCATGTCCCTGCAATACTCATACAATTGAATAGACGAATTTTCAGGGAAATCTGCGATTATTGCATCTAACGTTACTGGTGCTTTTGTCATGCAGTTCGTGTCAACTATTATAATATGCCTTAGTCTCAATCTGGATCGAGCGAAAAAAGCTCCAATTCTAGCGAACGTCTTCCTTCAAAATATGTTACATCGAAGGACAACATCACGGTAGTCTGCACAAGGTCTACAAGCCATTTAATAACCAAAATTGAAAATAAAGGAACGTCTTAATAGTTTCATTTATTGTAGCTTCCTAATTGTCAAGTCTACTCTGAAACCCTCTGTGAACTGACCGTACATCAACACAAGGCACTGAAATTGGCGCTATGACCTTGAAATCCGTCGAACGCTTCTGATTGACTCGATGGCCTGTGTTAGTCGTGGCAATGATGGTTTCTCAGCTTATCCAACTTTCTTCTGAAAAAGTCGACGGTGGAGCCTTAATCACGTGCTGAGTTAATGAATTCTACTCGTTGGTGATTCGATGGAAAATCCGTAGTCAGATGGCAAGCAGTTCGTTCTGGGCTTGTGAACTTTCTTGGAGTGTCCTCGTAAATTTTATGCTTTGAAAGACATGAAAAATGAGAGCATATCAGGTGCAAATTTATCACTAAGCAATTTGAAAACCGTAATCAAGTCGCCTCTGATTCTTCTATATGACAGCGGGAATAGGTTTAGCTTGGTCAGTCTAGTACCATACGGGAGCTTCGCTATTCCGGGAATCAGCCTAATTGCTGTTCTCTGAAACCTTTACAAGAGTTCACTGTCTTTTTTTGGGCAGTGGCTAGCTGCTTGTATGCAGTGCTCATGTTTAGGACTCACGAACACTGTATACAAAGTCAAAAACGTTTTATCGTCGAGATGCCTAAAAGCCCTGCGTATGGACCATAAGGTTCTAAAATTTTTGGCGGCTATTGCACGGCAGTGTGCAGTAGTCTTTAAGTCTTGACTAACGATGACTCCTAAGTCATTGTGTGTCTGGACAATAGGTAACTCAGTGTTATTCATCGTGTATGTATCTGTACCCTGATGGCCAATATGCATCACAATACACTTGGAAGTGTTTATCGGCAATTGCCAGGTTTGGGACCATTCAGATAATCTCTCCAGGTCATTTTGAAATTCTAAGCTATCACTCTTGCTTTGTATCGCTCTCCATATCTTGACATCATCAGCATAGAGTAAGACCGATGACGATAGTAGACGAGGGAGGTCATTTACGTACAGGAGGAATAACACTGGCCCCAAAACTGTACCCTAGGGGACTCCACTAAGCACAGTTTCCCAGCTAAACAACTTGGAGTTCACCCTTACTCATTGTTGACGCCCAACTAGGAAGTCTTTTATCCACATCAATAGATTGCCTCCAATCCCGACATTCCTTAGCTTATATAACAGCCGGTTATGCGGAACTTTGTCGAAAGCTTTGCTGAAATCGATGTAAGCTACGTCTATAGGTAACTTTTGGTCCTTAAGAGCGCACCAGCTTTCACGAGCGACTAATAAGTTTGTGAGGCAAGAGTAACCTGTTCTAAAACCATGCTGCTTTTCCGAGAGGATCCGGTTTTCATCGAGATACCTTAACAGCTCCTTCCGAATAATCTTTTCTAAGATTTTAACTACCACACTAGTTAAGCTAATTGGTTGGTAATTCTCAGGCTAATGTTTTGTACCTGTTTTGAAGACTGGACTTACTATGGCGTTCTTCCAGTTTTTTGGTAGACGACCCTGGGTTACAGATAGATTAAAACATACACTTAAAGAGTTCGCAATAAAGTTAGCTAATTCCTTCAGTAACCTAGGATGCACATCCTGGAGGTTCTTGGAATCAGCGAAACACTTTGGACGTAGGTTGGACAACAACGACTGTCTTCAGGAGAACTTCTGTTATACTCCGGTCATGAAGAAGAAAATGCCCCACATATACAAGGAGTTGCATTGATGCTGTCCAGAAAAGCACAAAATGCACTTATAGGATGGGAATCTCTTGGACCAAGGATCATCAAAGCCTCCTTCAGAACAAAGAGAGAGGGCATTACAATGAACGTCATCCAATGCTATGCGCAGACCAACGACTACGATGAAGACGCTAAAGACCAATTATATGATAGGCTGCAGTCGATCGTCGAGAAGTGCCCAATCAAGGACCTGACAATTCTGATGGGAGATCTCAATGCTAAGGTTGGAATGGACAACACTGGATACGAAGACGTCATGGGACAACATGGACTGGGAGGAAGGAACGAAAATGGTGAGAGATTTGCAAACCTATGTGCCTTCAATAAACTGGTCATAGGTGGCACCATATTCTCACACAAAAACATACACAAAGCCACTTGGATTTCACCGGATCACACTACACAGAATCAAATCGACCATATCTGCATCAACAAAAAGTTCAGGAGGACGATGGAGGGTGTGAGAACCAGAAGAGGAGCTGATATAGCATCCGATCATCATTTGCTGGTCGCTAAGATGAAACTAAAACTTAAGAAGCACTGGACAACGGTTCGGACAACATCACAAAAGTTTAATACGGCCTTTCTTCGAGATGCTGACAAACTCAACAAATTCAACAAAGCCCTCAGCAACAGGTTCCAGGCCTTTCATGACCTACTCAATGGAGAGGGGACTTCCATGGAGAGCAACTGGAAAGGTATCAAGGAGGCAATCGTTTCAACTTGTCAAGAGGTTCTGGGCCAAAAGAAGCACCATCACAAGGAATGGATCACTGTTGGTACACTAGATAAGCTTTGGAGGATGTGAAAACCTTTACATATCTGGGCAGCATCATTGATGAACACGGTGGATCAGATGCAGATGTGAGGGCGCGGATCGGTAAAGCAAGAGCAGCATACTTACAACTGAAAAACATCTGGAGCTCAAAACAATTGTCAACCAACACCAAGATCAGAAATTTCAATACAAATGTCAAGACAGTTGTACTGTATGGGGCGGAGACGTGGAGAAATACGAAAGCCATTATCCAGAAGATACAAGTGTTCATCAACAGCTGTCTACGCAAAATACTTCGGATCCGATGGCCAGACACTATCAGCAATAAGTTACTGTGGGAGAGAACAAACCAGATTCCAGCAGAGGAAGAAATCAGGAAGAAGCGCTGGAAGTGGACTGGTCATACCTTGAGGAAATAAGCTAATTGCGTCACAAGACAAGCCCTCACATGTAATCCTGAAGGTCAACGGAGAAGAGGAAGACCAAAGAACACATTAGGCCGAGAAATAGAGATAGACATGAGAAGAATGAACAAGAACTGGATAGAACTAGAAAAGTAAGCCCAGGACAGAGTGGGTTGGAGAAAGCTGGTCGGCGGCCTATGCTCCATTGGGAGTAACAGGCGTAAGTAAGTAAGTAACCTAGGATGCAGTTCATCGGGTCCAGTGGATTTACCTATGTCAAGCTTAATTAGCAGACCAAAGACATCAAGTTCTTTAATGGTTACGCTGTCCAGTGTTTGTGTGGGGGGATTTTCATGGACTGGTGAGAAGGGTGTTTCCATGGTGTATACATTGCTAAAGTATTTAGAGAAT